ACGTCCACCCGATCCACCATCTTGTTTGTTCTCCTCCAATAATTTTTAAGGAAAAGATATCCATTCCTACAACAACAAAAGCAACAATACCTCCTAGAGTCTCCCTATCTTACCCGCTCCTCTACCCTTCTCCTCCTTGTGTATTGCCCTCTCCCTCTTTACTCCCTGTCCCTGTCCCTGTCCCCCAAGTTAACGTTTGTCTATCCCCCGACCTGTGAGTTACTGTCGCATCCCTCCTGCCCCTTGTAATCCTCAAATAATTATTTTTTTTAGTATGGAAACCTTTTCTTAAAGTTTTTGTAATAATGGACTTAATGTAATAACTGCTTTTTTGTCCCTAATTTCACTCAGCATTACGTCCTCAAGGATCCTCAATGTTTTGAGGTGTTTTACAGCTTCATTGTTATTCTTTAAGGTAGCATAGTATTTCATTGTGAATCAATACCTGAGAGCAATAGCTCTTTTGAAAACAAATGTGGAAGTGTTAAGTCATTTGTAATTTAATGCAGTCAGGCAATTTCTCTCCCAACCCTACCAGAGACCAATTCCCTTGTCCGAATGGAGTTTATTGGGAGTCTTGCATTTGCATTTTGTCATGTTTTGTTTTTGTGAAAGGTAATAGGGGAATGTTAAAAGTCCTAGTGTGGTGCTGTGGCTTAATGCGCTGGACTGCAAAGTTGGTTTGAATCACAAGATAGACTGTTCCAGCTCACCAGCCGCTCCTCAGAAACCCTATACAGGGTTGCTATAGATCAGAACTGACTTGACAGCACTTAACAATAACAACAACTGCGCTGCTGACTAGGATTATCTTGGGGAATCCAGGATACAAGGATTCCTTTAGAAAAAGCCCTCTACTACTGCCACCACCCTACCACAAGATGGAATGGTACCTAGATTCATATCTTTGCCTCGGGAACTCTGTACATTTTTTTTGAGAAGACACTTCTTCAGGTACTGTGTTTGATGCTTGAACTACCAAAATAAAGAACATAAAAAGGCATTCTCCCTGCATAAGAATTCACGATCTACTGCCTGTCACTGACAAGAAGCACATGTAGATACACAGTATATGTTAATATTTCAATATTTTTTTTCTTATGCGATTTCTAACAAAACATACTTAGAAATTTTCTCTTGGGCTACAGGACGGGCAGTGTTTTGTTCTGTTGGGCATAAGGTTGCTATGAGTCGGTACCAACTTGACGGCGCAACAATAACAACTATACAAATTCAGTGATAGCCAGAAAAATGAGATAGATTCTACCTAAAAGCTGCATATTGCATAACAGAAAAATTATATGAGAACGTTTGTCATTGTTTGAGAAATATGGACTGAGCACATACTCTGTCCCAGGCACTGCTAAGTTCTGGAGAGTGTGAAGAACCCCATGAGACAAAAGAGGTCCCCACTCTCATGGCTATCATTTCAGTACCGCAGACTCTTAGTAGCCTGTGGTACACGTTATATTTACCACAAGGATACCAGAAACATGAATATAAAACCAGAGTTTGGTGATTTGTTTTTATTTTGATAAGCACAGATAGGAGGATTCGCCTTTCAGTAAACGGTATACCAGCTACTCTTACACTCTTTGAGATGAGTGGCAGCTATGACTTTTTTAGACATTTTTCTTTTACAAAATATATTCTTTCTGGTTGTTCACTTGGTGTGTAAGACTGCATGCGCAAAAGAGTGAGTATGGAATTTCTCCTGTTTTGACCACAGATACATTTCTCCTCTTTAGTCTCAACCAGTGGTGACTCTCCTCTTCAAACAGAAGAATGGCATTGAAATTCAGACTTCTGCTTTGGAAGAATTTTATTTTAAAAGTAAGTATACACATCTGAGAAAAACATAGGAGTAAGCAAAGAGCAATTGATGATCTCCATTCCAGTTCCTGAGAGTCAGGTTCAGAATGAGCATCTATGTCATCAGAACTCATGAACACACTAGAGTCCCAAGAACTGTTATATGCCCCGTAGGAGAGCAGGGGATTAGAACATGTAGTTGGTAGTCCAGAAATCTCCATTGATTAAAGGTCAGAAGAAAAAGTAAGGTTATGACTAAGAAGAAGTTGAGACAAACATTTGATCAAATGTTGCAGACTTACTGGTTTCAGGAGGACACAAAATACTAAATGGAAATATAGGCTGGGTAGTCAGAACTCTGATTAGACAGGAACCATCTTCCACAGAAATTGAAATGGTTGGGAAAATGTACTGGTGAACAGATACAACATACCAATACCAGAAATCTTGGTAGCTACTAGTCTTATGCCACAACCAAGGAGTTTTCTTGTGATAAAGAAAGCATCTAAGTGGGAACACTTGATTGGAATAGAGAGTAAATAAACAAGAGGGAAGAGAGATTGTCCTGCGGATACTGAGGCTTTATAGTCCAGGAAGCAGTAGGTGTTGCGGGGTAGACAGGGAAGGAAAGAATAAAACTTTGATGTGCGGTTAGAAACTATGTACTTCATGTCTTTCATTTTGTTCCAGAAGCGACGATGGGTTCTTCTGATCGTGGAATTTATACTGGAATTGCTGTTCACTGTTATTCTCTTGATAGTTCGGGATTCCAGTTCTGTAAAGCACATGAGTGCTCTGAGGTTTGCTGCTCAGTCTACAAGTCTGCCTTCTTATTTCCTTGATGCCAGTGTACAAAGAGAATGGGAACTGGCTTATAGCCCTTCCAACAGTGAAATAGTAAAAGATCTTATTAAAATGGTACAACAGACTTTATTGAATAAATTTACAAGTAAGGACTTATGAACAGAAATTTCTACATGCTAGTTATTTTATAAGAAATGATTTATATCTGTTGTAATTTATACGCAGTCCTCATAATTTTAAGCAACCCAAGAGAGAACGAATTACCTAATAAATGTATTGCTATGGATTAGGATATAAAGTGAGAAATTTGGGCTATTCGGAAGGATCTTTTACATCTTTGAACCTCCTGTTTCTTGTCTAGGATTGTTGTTAACTGCCGTCAAGTTGGTTCTAACTCATAGTGACCCTGTATAAGGTTTCCACGGAGCAACTGGTGGGTTTGAACCACTGACTTTGTGGTTCAGACTGATCTGATCGGACACGTTATCCCGCAGTGCCACATCAGGACTCCGTAAAAGATTGCTGTTGTTAAGTGCCGTAGAGTCGGTGCTGACCCATAGTGACCCTGTATAGGGTTTCTGAGGAGCGGTGGGTGGGTTTGAACTGCCGACTTTGCGGTTCAAACTGACCTTATGATCCAGCACATTATCCTGCAGTGCCACACCAGGATAATGGGGACAAAAAGGGATGATACTAACCTGAAGATTACAACTGACAATCTCTAAGCGACAATTGACTTTGCAAGTGAAGACATTTAAACAGTTTCAGAGATCTATGAAGTTTTGCCAAACCTTGGCAAACATAGCAAACTTTTGTGTCTATAAAATCATCTGACAGTGTCTCTCTTTCCTCAGATAGAGCATCAGATATCATTGCCTTTGTGTTGACAGTTTACTGCTTGGATTTTTTCTTCACATAGTTCATGGCTTTACTTCCGAGGAAATGTTTGAAGAATACATTAAGCATAATGACAACTCTGATCGGGTGGTGGCTGCGGTTGTTTTTAACCATGACTTTGTGAACACCAAGGACTTACCACTTCAGGTGAGGAAGCCTTACATTCAAAGGGTTCCCAGGGTTATAACAAAGATCTAATGATCAGACCTGACCTCAATTCCCAGTGGAACTCAACTGCTTGATTAATCTGCATATTTACTGTATCTGCCAAGACCAGAACTACCAAGGATCTGTGAAGTTCCAATATTTTTTCTAAAGAGAAATTACTTTAGATTTGCACAAACTTTTGCAGTTATTGGAGTGAGTGGGGGAGTGACTGTTTCAGCAGAGTGGTGGAGGGGGAACAACTATGTCGTTCATGAAGCTTTGAGATGCCTGGGTGAGGTTGGAGGCTGTAACATTAACTGCTATCTGATTAGCACTTGAAGTCTTCAAAGCCCCAGAGCACTTTTACTGACAACTTATTAAAGAGGACATACTTGGGAGTTAGCAGAAACAGCTACCTTCTGAAGGTCCCAAGGTCCTCAGACTTACATCCACACTTGAATTCATTTTCTTCATGTGTCATATTTATTTAGCATCTCCATTCCAGGAGATATGATAGGCATTTAAGGATGACAAAAAACCATGATCTCTGTTTCCATGGAGTTATCATTCTAGTAGAGAGGGAAGGGAATAGGAAAATGAGTTATGACCACTAATTGTAATAAGTGCTATTGTTGTTGTTAAGTATCATTGAGTCAGTTCCTACCCATAGCGACCCTGTATAGGGTTTCCGAGGAGCCACTGGGGAAAAAGCAAGTGTAGTATAAGGAAGAAAATCACTGCTTCTGAAGAGGTGATGCGTAAACTGAGAATCGAATCGTAAGGAGGGATCAGCCACTTAGCAGACACTGAGGCTGGGGAGTGCCTTACAATTGGGGAGAATAGCATTTGTTCAGTCCCTAAGACTGGAAAAACTTGATGTGTTCAGGTAGTCTGGTAGGGCTGGAGCTAAGAGGAAGCAGAAAATTAGCAAGGTAGGCTTTGCTAAAGAATTTGGATTGTATTCCAAGCACATCAGACATCACAAAAAGATTAACCAGAAGAAGGTGTATTATTTAAGGCTTAGGAAACAGATGATTTCACAGATAGATGATTTTGAGGGGAAGACTACAAAGCAGTGTACTCAGTAAAATAAGGCAACACCCAACAGAAGTCTCCCAGTTAAAAACTCCTGCAACTTTTGGTCTTGGTAAATTGGCATTGTCACACACATGGCCATTTTTATTAAATAAAAAGTATCTTATGATTGCAGGATCTCTGGCTTTGTCCCGTGAGTTTTAGTGTTCTGAGTCCATGTACTTGTATAATTAATCTTAATATAAGGGAAAAGAAAGATAATAGGTGTATAATAACTTCAACTAAAATCTTTGGCAACTTTTATTTGCTAGTTACGGCAAGTTAAATCTGGTAAACTCACATTAGATTACCAATTAGTCATTAAAAACCTCAGAGTCGTTTGGAGTGGGAAGGGCAAGAGCCAAATTTTATGGAAATAACTCATAATTGGTAAGGACAAAATTGAAAGAGAAAGTTTCATCACTCTCCTACTCAACTTGCTGGAAATAGGTGTAAATTATTTTAAACCCTTTTTATTGTGATGCCTGTACATTTTCAAGTCAGAGCTACTTCTCATCTGGAGTGTTGGGCCCACAAACCTTTTGTTCATGCTAGCTCATTTCAGTTCTTACTTCATTTTATTTTTCTCTCTTTAGTGCTATGTTGTTGGTGGTGTTGTTGTTAAGTACCGTCGAGTCGGTTCCAACCCATAGTGACCCTGCACAGGGTTTCTGAGGCTGTAAATCTTTACAGGAATAGAAAGCCTCATCTTTCTCCTGTGGAGCGGCTGGTAGTTTTGAACTGCTGACCCTAAGGTTCGCAGCCCGATTCGTAACCACTATGCTACCTTTAGTGCTATAGATTCTTAGACTATCCCTGTGATTCAAGTGACAAACTGGTAAAATTGTAGAATTTGTTATTGTTGTTAAGTGCCATCTAGTCAGTTTTTACTCACAGTGATCAATCTTGTGGTTCAAACTGACCCCGTGGCCCAGTGCATTCTTCTGCAGCGCCACACCAGGACTTCAAATTGTAAAATACTGGCTCAAAATAAGGAGGCCTAGTTCTTCAGTGGTTAAGCACTTGGCTACTAACCAAAATGTCGACAGTTCAAACTCATCAGCCACTCCCGAGGGGAAAGAAGACAGTTGGCTTCTGTAAAGATTCACAGCCTTAGCAAGCCTATGGGGTAGTTGTGTTGACTCCTACGGGGTCAGCATGAGTCATAATTGACAGGATGGTGAGGGGCTTGGCTCCAGATGGACTTTTGCTGTTGTCATTTCTGCCTTCCTAGTCCTGTTGAATATATGCATCTTTGGTCTTCAGGACATAAACTAGAATGTTGTTCTGCTATCTTTGCATTTTTACCGCATCTGGCACAGGACCTTGCACATGGCAGATACACAAGAAAAATCAATTTAAAAATAATTGTCCTACTGAAAATCATATTTTATTAGAAGACTTTTCTGTGCCTTCAAAAGGACTAAGTTTATCCTTTTTAATTATCTGTATTAATGAGGAGCATTGAAGAAATACCAAATGAAAGCCATCTAGTTAAGATTCTTTTTTTTTTAGGTGTTATCTGTTCATAGCAACTCTATGCACAATGGAATGAAACATTTCCTGGTTCTGAACCATCCTCACAATTGTTAGTCCTGAGCCCATTGCTGCTGCCACTGAATCAGTTCATCTCATTGGGGGTCTTTCTCTTTTTTCTGACCCTCCCCATTACCCAGCATGATGTTCTTCAGGGACTGGACCCTCCTGATGACATGTCCAAAGTATGAGAGATGAAGCCTCACCATTTCTGCTTCTAAGGTGCACTTCGGTCGTACTTTTTCCAACACAGACCTGTTTGTTTTTCTGTCAGTCCATGGTACCTTCACTATTCTTCCCCAACACCACAGCTTTAATGTATCTAGTCTTCTGCGATCTTCCTTACTCATTGTCCAACCTTCACATGCATCTGAGGTTGTTGAAAATACCATGGCTTAGGTTAGGTGCACCTTAGTAAAAAGTACTGACCAGAACCTTAGACCTATTGCTGTTGAGTCAAGTCTGACCCGTAGCGACCCCTGGAGGACAGGGTAGAACTTTCCAACAGGATTTACAAGATTGCAGATCTTTACGGAATAAAACTGCCACATGTTTCTCCTGTGTAGCAACTTGTGGGTTCTGATATCTTATCTTAGTTAGCATCCAAGCACTTAACTACTGAGCCACCAGAGCTCCTTGAAATATGAAATGAATGAATAAGTACAGTGAGGGGACAAAAATGAAACAGCTGAAAATTGAATCCTGGAACTTTTTTTTTTTTTTTTAAACAGAATGATGTAGAAGAGATAAAAAGGAAAAATATGGTCCAGGTAGTGGTAAGAAGGGTACGTGAGTAGTACAGTGTGTCAGGGAGATAGCAATGCTGAGACTTAGGCACCCTGGGCAGAGAGGCATATGGGAGATGATGGGCTAATTCTAAGAAAATTGTTAAGTTGTCAGTTTATTGTACAGTGGAGGCTTGCCATGATGCTGTATTTTAAATGCCAGCAAGGTCACCCATGGTGGGCAGACTGCAGCTTACCTTCCAGACTAAAACAGACTAGGATGAAGGAGAAGTGAACTACTTCTGAATGTTTAGCCACTGAAAACCTGATGAATAGCACCAAATTATTGTAAGATATAGTGCCAAAAGAAGAGCCCCTCAGACTGGGAGGCACTCAAAATATGGATGGGGAAGAGCTGCCTCCTGAAAGTAGAATTGACTGTGATGATGTGAATGGAGTAAAGCTTTCAGGACCTCTGTTTGTAGATGAGACAAAAATCAAAATGAGAAGAAACAGCTAGAAACATCCTTACCAAATGGAATACACAGAAATCAAATTGACTACATCTGTAGGAAGAGATGCTTGGAAAGCTCAATATCATCAGCAAAAACAAGCCCAGGGACAGACTGTGGAACAGACATTCAATTGCTCCTATGCAAGTTCAGGCTGAAACTGAAGAAATTAAAGCAAGTCCATGAGAGCCAAAATATGACCTTGAACATATCCCACCTGAATTTAGAGGGCATCAAAAGAACAGATCTAATGCATTAGACACTTTTAACTGAAGACCAAAAGAATTATGGGATGACATAGAAAGCATCATACAAGAAGAAGGCAAAAAGTAATTAAGAAACTAAGAAACAAAGAAAAGACCAAAATGGGTGTCAGAAGAGATTCTGAAACTTACTCTTTAGCAAGTTACTTTCCAGTATTGGTGCTAAAGTGACTGGAAGAAATTAGGAGGTAAAAGAACTAAACAGAAAATTTCCAAGGGCTGCTTGAGAAGACAAAGTCAAGTATTATAATGAGATATGCAAAGGCCTGGATTTAGACAAACAAAAGGGGAAAATATGCTCAGTATTTCTCAAGCTGAAAGAACTAAAGAAAAACTTCAGGCCTCACCTTGCAATATTGAAGGATTCTATGGGCAAAATGGAGTCCTGATGTGGCGCTGCAGGTTAAAGCACTGGATTTCAAGGTCAGTTTGAACTGCAAGGTTGGCTTTTCAAGCTTACCAGCCACTCCTCAGAAACCCTAAACAGGGTTGCTATGAGTTGGAACCAACTCAACGGCATTTAACAACAATAGCAATGGGCAAAATATTGAATGGTACAGAGCATTAAAAGAAGATGGAAGGAATACACAGAATCACTGTACCAAAAAGAAATGGTCGGTGTCCAACCATTTCAAGAGGTAGCATATAATCAAGAGCCAGTAGTACTGAAGGAAGAAGTCAAAGGTGCGCTGAAGGCATTGGCAAAGAAAAAGCCTCCAGGAATTGACAGACTACAGACTGAAATCTTTCAACAAACTGAGTCAGCACTGGAGGACCTCACTAACTTATGACAAGAAATCTGGAAGACAACTACCTTGCCAACTGATTGAAAAAGATCTATATTTGTGTCCATTCCAAAGAGAGGTAACATAACAGAATGTGGAAATCATCAAACAATATTAATATCACATGGAAATAAAGTTTTGCTGAAGAAAATTCAAAAATGGCTGTAGCCATCCACCAGCAGGGAACTGCCAGAAATTCAAGCTGGATTCACATTAGGATGTGGAACGAGTCATATCATTGCTTATGTCAGATGGATCTTGACTAAAAGTAGAGAACACCAGAAAGATGTTTACCTCTGCTTTATTGAATATGCAAAGGCTTTTGACTGTGTGGATCATGACAAGCTATGGATACCATTGTGAAGAATGGGTATTCCACAACACCTAATCGTGCTCTTGGGGAACCTGTACATAGACCAAGAGCCAATCATTATGACAGAACAAGGAGACACTGAATGGCTTAAAATCAGGAAAGGTGTGGGTCGTGGTTGTATTCTTTCTCCATACTTATTCAATCTGTACGCTGAACAAATAAACCAAGAAGCTGGATTATAAGAAGAACATGGCATCATAATTGGAGGAAAACCCGTAAACAACCTGTGATGTGCAGGTGATACAACCTTGCTTGCTGAAAACTAAGAGGACTTAAAAATACTTACTGATGAAGATCAAAAACCACAACCTTCAGTATGGGCTGCACCTCAATGTAAAGAAAACAAAGTTCCTCACCACCGGACCAGTAAATAACATCATAATAAATGGAGAAAAGATTGAAGTTGTCAAAGCCTTCATTTTGCTTGGATCCAAGATCAACACTCATGGAAGCAGCAGTCAAGAAATCAAAAAATGTATTGCTTTAGGCAATTCTACTGCACATGTCTTTAAAGTGTTCAAGAGCAAATATGTCAGTTTGAGGACTAAGATACTCCTGATCCAAGCCATGGTATTTTCAGTAGGCCCATATGTATATAAATATTGGACAATGAATATGGAAGACCACAGAAGAACTGATGCATTTGACTTATGATGTTGGAGAAAAATATTAAAAGTACCATGGACTGCCAGAAGAACAAACAAATCTGTGTTGAATGAAGCACAGCCAGAATACTGCTTAGAAGCCAAGATGGCGAGACTTTGTCTCTCATACTTTGGACATGTTACCAGGAGGGACCAGTCCCTGGAAAAGGACATCATGCTTGGTAAAGTGAAATTTCAACGAAATGTAAATGATACAACTTTGCTTGCTAAAAGTGACGAGGACTTAAAATACTGATGACAATCAAAGATCACAGCCTCAGTATGGGTTTCACCTCAATATAAAGAAAATAAAAATCCTCACAACTGGACATGATAAATGGAGAAAAGATTGAAGTTATCAAAGACTTCATTTTCCTTGGCTC